ATTTGTCCATTTCTCAGGTTGTCTAGTTTGTTGGAGTAGAGTTGCCCGTAGTATTGTTTAACAATCATTTGTATTTCTGTGGGGTCTGTTGTTATTTCGCCTCTATCATTTCTGATTTGGTTTATTTGGGACCTCTCCCTTTGCTTCTTGGTGAGCCTGGCTAGGGGTTTGTCAATCTTGTTTATCCTTTCAAAGAACCAGCTCTTGGTTTCATTGATTTTCTGTATTGTTTTTTTGGTCTCTATGTCATTGATTTCTGCTCTAATCTTTATTATCTCCTTCCTTCTGCTCACTCTGGGGTTTTCTTGTTGCTCTCTTTCTAATTCTTTGAGTTGTAGAGTTAGATGATTGACTACCATTTTTTCTTGTTTTTTGAGATAGGCCTGTAGAGCTATAAACTTTCCTCTCAGGACTGCTTTCATTGTGTCCCAGAGGTTTTGGATTGTTGTGTTTTCATTGTCATTAGTGTCCAGGATGTTTTTAATTTCTTCTTTGATGTCATCGGTAACCCAATCAATATTTAATAACATGCTATTCAGCTTCCAAGTGTTTGAGTATTTTGGGTTGTTTTTATTGTAGTTTATTTCTAACATTATGCCATCGTGGTCTGCGAAGAAGCTTTTTATGATTTCAATCTTCTTGAATTTGTGGAGACTTTGCTTGTGACCCAATATGTGGTCTATTTTTGAATATGTCCCATGAGCACCTGAGAGGAATGTATATTCCGCAGCTGTGGGGTGAAGTGTTCTGAAGATGTCAATTAAGTCCATCTGATCTAGTGAGTCATTTAGGATTGCTGTTTCTTTGCTGAGTTTTTGTCTAGCGGATTTATCCAGTGATGTCAGTGGTGTATTAAAACATATTTTTAAAAAATAATTAATAAAGTGCTGGTGACAATGAAATGATGTCAGTGCTTTGCCCAGTGTCAGGCGCACACACACCCTCAGTGAATCCATCCTGTCCTGACACTGCGACTCTCAATAAGCCCCTCGGCTTCCGGGAGCAGAGACGCAGCTGCCTTTCTTCTCTGACAGCTGGGAGGGAGCAACAGTGGATTTAAATAAAATGAGTTGCTCTCCTCGATGGCCTAAACCAGCCGTGGGCAAACTACGGCCCGAGGGCCGGATCCAGCCCGTTTGAAATGAATAAAACTAAAAAAAAAAACACAAAACCGTACCCTTTTATATAATGATGTTTACTTTGAATTTATATTAGTTCACACAAACACTCCATCCATGCTTTTGTTCCGGCTCCGGTCCACTTTAAGAACCCATTGTGGCCCTTGAGTCAAAAAGTTTGCCCACCCCTGGCCTAAACGCTCAGCCGGGGCTCCTAGGGCCTGGGGCACTGTGGCTGCAGTCCCAAGCGCAGCCTCCATGGAGGAGGAGCGGGGCTGGTGCAGACCCTCCTTCCCGTGCCCT